GGGGGGGGGGAGGGGGGACTTTATGGGTTTAAACAAATAATACTATTAATTAATTGATAATAAGTCTTAATTTAGAAAATTAATCAAAAATGAGTCTTAATAAATATATATTCAGTTTAGCACACAGATATTTTAATTACAATCATTATTCTTTGTTACCCACACCGTTGATTGGGTCCCTTACTCTTACTTAAAAATCGATGATAATTTTGCTAATTTCTTCTTTAAAACTAAAACTAAACACAAGTGATCTATATTTAAATTCACATTTAAAAGGCCAATAATCTGTTTAAATGTATTGAATATAACCCTAAAACTCTGAATTGTTAGTTACCAGATTACAAGTTCAGGGGGTGGAGGTAATTTGACCCAACACCGAAAAGAAGAACAGCTGCCGGAGACCATCACTGCAGGCTGATAGGACCATATTTTATTTCAAGAAGGAATGTACTTACTTAATCCTAAAGCTTTTCTTGGTGTAAATCAACTCTAACCTGCACCGGTGCAACAAGGTTTACACGGTCAGACTTTATGATTCATATAGGTTGAATTTACCTTCACTAAAGGGGCAGATTTGCGTGTAGTAAATAGATTTTATGATACTATTGTGTACTTTTTATTATTCTTCCTCACTTCATCGTGAATTTCATAATGAACGTGCTATAATGTAATCATCGTTCTATAATGTTGAATTAGCTGTACAGCAGCGTGCTATAAAGTTTTGATTGCATTGTTCCCGGATTTTCTCCAAAAAAATTAGGATATTTCCAAAATATTTTTTTACAATTGAAATGAAATAAAATTGAAATCAACTTTTTTTGACTCATGCTTTGTTTCAAAGCTTATTAGATCTAGAAATAGCAATTGAAATAAGACAAGTACACAAGCGTTTTCATGAAATTACCTATAGCACTATTATTTTGGCACGACGTGCTATAAAGTTTTTGGACTTAAATTTTCACTACATCTCGAAGGTTCTCGCCTTTTAGATTATATTATATATGATATATATTAAAAAGCCTTGAACCTTCTCGATAAAGAGAAAATTTCTGTCCAAAAACTTTATAACACTGCGAACCAAAATATCTGTGTTATAAATAGTTAGGGATTAGAAAATCAGAGTTTGTGACAAAGACTCAATTCCTTTCATATATACATATAGTGAGTAAAGTAAATGGAAGGAGCGGAGTTAATATGGATCAAGAGCAGAGTAGGTTGAGAGAGATAAAGAAGTGTATAGATTGGAGAAGTATAAGGAACTTAAAGGACTGAGGGAAGTGAATTACAGGGAGTTTAAATGAATGAAGGAAGGAAGTAGAGTTAGAGTGATTAAACAGAATGGAGGTTGGTGATGTAGGGAGTGAAGGAAAAATGGAGGAGGAGTTGATATATGGATGACGGGTTTGATTGACTAGTATGTGGTGGAAAAAGAAGAGAAGAGATTGCAGTTGTAGGAAGCAAAGTAAACAAAGAAAGGGGAGTAGATGTTCATGAAGGAAGGCAGTATAAAGCTAGAGAGAGGAAGTGTGGAGGTTGGAGATTTAGGGAGAACAGGAAGTGGAGGTTTGGAGTTAATACGGATGACGGGAGATGAAAAAGGGATATGTGATTGGAGAAATCTTTGAGGTAGGGATTGAAGTAAACGGAGAGAGTAGAGTTGATAAGGATGACGGGGGAGGAAGAGTTAGTAGATGAAGATGGATAGGGAAGTGGGAATATTAGAGTATTATATTAAAATATTAGGAAGTATATATTAGACGAAAATTGTGCACGGAGGAGTTAATATGAATGAACTTATGAAGTAGTGAGGGGAAAGGATTTGGAAAGACTAAAAAATATGAAAATTGAAAAAAACTAAAAGTAAAATTTCGCCACCATCTTATTGCATAAGAAGTTACACGACTAAAAAGCTCAAGTTTGCAGGACTGGCGCCATGACAAACTCCTGAAATACAAACTCCTGAATTACAAACTCCTAAAATACAAACTCCTGAATTACAAACTCCTGAAATACAAACTCCTGAAATACAAACTCCTGAATTACAAACTCCTGAAATACAAACTCCTGAATTACAAACTCCTGAAATACAAACTCCTGAAATACAAACTCCTGAAATACAAACTACAGAAATTCAAACTACAGAAAGCTAGACAAACTCCTGAAAGTCAAACTCGTGAAAAGACAAACTCCTGACGAGCCAAACTTCTGACGAGACAAACTCTTGACATGACAAACTCCTGAAAATATAAATTTCTGAAATATAAATGTACCAGTTGGTTTCATCAACTTTATTTAGAATTACTGGAAAATGAAAAAGTTATTGGGAGTTCATAAATTCAGATTTCAAGATGGGAGCTTCCAGAGACATGGAGGAAGAGGGGGGTCCCCCCCTCCCAAAGTGTACTGTACAGAGTCCCATGGCAGTGTAGATTTAGATTTCGGTTTATAGGTTTCACTATGGTTTAGACTGTGCTGTGGTTCACCCTATTGTTCGGTTTGTTTAGATGTTTGATTGTGTTTAAATTGTGGTCCACCATATTGTTTGATTAGATTAAGTTGTGGTCCACATTACTGTTTGATTAGTTTATATCGTGGTCCACATTACTGTTTGATTAGTTTATATCGTGGTTCACATTAATGTTTGATTAGATCATGGTCCACATTACTGTTTGATTAGTTTAGATTGTGGTCCACCATACTGTTTGATTAGTTTATATCGTGGTCCACATTACTGTTTGATCAGTTTAGATTGTGGTCAATATTACTGTTTGATTAGTTTAGATTGTGGTCCACATTACTGGTTGATTAGTTTAGAATGTGGTCCACGATACTTTTTGATTAGTTTAGATTGCGGTCCACATTACTGTTTGATTAGTCTATATCGTGGTCCACATTACTGTTTGATTAGTTGAGATTGTGGTCAACATTACTGTTTGTTTAGTTTAGATTGTGGTCCACATTTCTGTTTGATTAGTTTATATCGTGGTCCACATTACTGTTTGTTTGAGTTGGAATCAGGTCCATAGATTCATGGTTGATGTGAAAATCAGGTTTATGTCGACATTATGCACTTTTGCAGTTTTAATTCACAGTGTCCTTTGTTCATTTCATGTTTCTCACGTAGAGAGACCAATTTTGAAATTATATTAGAATAGCCCGGGAACCCAGTGTTGCCCGGCCAGGGTACTTATAGTTACTTCCGCTGTTTACCCGCACTTTTTCGTAAATTACAATTTTAGCTATAATAGTCAACCCACTTAACTTAGAATCTCAAAACCAAGTTAAGAACATTCCCGTGGTTCTCCCGTGTACCCCCAAAAGTTGAGGCAGATCGGTAAGGAGGTTCATGAGTTATGATCGAACAAATAAACAGACAGACAGACAAACAGAGATTTTAACTTTATATATATAGATTAAATCTATTAGATGATGAATTTGCGGAAATCAGAGTTCTTCGCGCCCCTCGTCCAACCCTCTACGTCACTTGAATATGGGTTGAGCAGCTCGAGTAGTCTTCCTGGTTGTAATTTAGATGTTTATCCCACAGTGAAGGTTTACTTTGAGATTTAACCTTTTCAAAACACTTCTAGAGAGTCTGCTTGATTTTAACAGTTTTCGGGTGAATATAATATTTAAATCCAGTAACTGTTGTTTATATTTAAAAATAATTCAAAGTTTTAAATATTTAAATTTACAGCATTGCAATTTAAAGTTTCTCTTAATAAAAAAAGAGTCAAAACAGATTATGTTAAGGTTTGAAAACAGTCCCTTTAAAGTAAATATTGAGATTGAAGCGAGAAGATGTAAATGAGGGGACTTATGTTCATTTAACATCCTATATGTTTAATTAGAAGGATATAATTTAATTCTTACACTAATTGTTACTGATTAATTAACATAGCTAGTCCATATTTTAGATTTGTCAGAGCAATCTCAGGGTTGCAAAAGAAAAACTCTCATCTGTCATTTTCTTATCTTTATACTTTTTCATCCTAATTTCGGTATACACTTGTAGCCCCCACAACCTACCTTCCTATACAGTATTAGCTCCTGAAATGGCTAAGCCTAAATGTAGAGTAAAGGAACCATCTCTTCTTCCTATACACTACTATCCCCTGAAATGACTAAACGTAGAGTTAGTAAAGGTAGCAGGAAACTTCAGTTTAAGAATGCAAGCTCTGAAGGTAACTTCCGTATTTCTGAACCTGTTAGAATAGTTAAACCAGATCTATACTCATGCATATCAGGGAGTTAGAGGACTTGACATTTAGTTTTTAGATGTTTCAACTCATGAGTTTACAGTGTACATTTAGAACAAGCAACAGATACAGGGTTACTCAAAAAGATTGAGTCTTTATAAGAACAACCTGATCCTCCAATTAAAGAGGGACATACCCGATTAACAAACGCAATCTTCAAACCTTTAGCTGATCAATAATGTGAAAAAAGCGTATTTTTGTAGCTTCAACTGTGTTCAAATCTGATTATTCCTACATTGTTTTTCTGCTGTAGAATAGCGCAAGACACTTTTGTAGAGTAAATCTAATCAGATGTTTTCAAAATTAAGAACATTCCTAGTTAATACTTGATCAGACTAAAGGACATACAACTTTCTTTTTTAACGGAGGGTCATTTAAAATTACGTTAATACACTCTTTCTGACTAGAATATGACTTTAAATGTTTAGGAAATAATTCGGAAAAGAAAGTATCAATTGTTAACAATGTGCATAGAAACAAAAATGAATAATTAAATAATTCCGTAAAGCTGTCTTTGGCTTTGTAATCACGCATTTAAAAAATTGTTTAAAACGATTGTCGAAATTATTTCAATCAAGAATCCTTGATTTCAATTGACTCTGCATTCCAAAGTTACGTGTGTCCGATTCGGATTTGGGTAATGTTACATCGTCTATACGCAATATCTCCCCTACTGAATTTCCGACCTTCTAACTTTCCGACCTACTGCAATATCGGACCTACGTCAGCTGTTTATTTTTGTATTATTTGAGGGTTAGGTTAGGTTAAGACAATTAATCTGGGCCGAGCGCCGCGGCTAGGACAGGCTAGGGGGCCGGGCGCTGCGGACACATGTCCATATCGCAGCTGTAAAACCACGTGCTAGTAGGTCGGATGTGTTGTATAGCGGATTTGGCGTAGGTCAGAAGTGGAGTATAGCGGATATGTGTAGGTCGAAAAATACACCATCCTTTCAGCCCTTCAGCCCTTTATCTATAATGTCGTCTTCTGTCATGAAAAGAAAAATTCTCTCAATTTCCTTCTTCGTCTCTGCTCCGCCAAGAACTTTACAGCAGATTGCAAATTATCAATTTTCAGATAAAAAAGGAAAATCAATCATTTTAACTCACATAAAGTTGTACTGTGATATGAATCGCGCATACAACTCATGAATTTAAGGCTCACGTGAAATTACGTTAACTGTTCCTTTAAGGTTGTTGTGCTGTTGTTGTTGCTGGAGGACGGGTTGGGTCAAGAGGAGACGGAGGAGGAGCAGATCAACAAGTTCAACAAGCTCCTTAAGGAGTTTGGGTTCTCAGCATCTATCCAGCAAAAATTAGATCAAACAAATTCAGGTTCAGTTTAGATTCTTCTAAAGAATAATATAGAAGGTCAAACAAATGCAAAAGTCCTGAGGATAAATTATGAATATTTTGATAACATTTTTCGCCCCGTGCTCTTTGACTCGTCCTTTGGAAAAAAAGTAACCTTCCTTGATTATAATATTCCATGGGTCAGGTTAGGTTAAGATAGATAGATAGATAGATATTAATGGGAGTTGGTTTCAGGAATCTTTAATAAAAATGCAGAGAACGTTAAGGGATGATTCTTTTGATGTACCGTCTCTTTTTTACCGTCTATGGGTTGTATGTACTGGGATGATGAGACTTTAATCTTTAAATTGCATATTTTATGATTTGACAAAGAAATAACCTAGTTTACAGCTACACAGAATCATGAATATAAAGAAACACATAAAATAAACTCAATACAGTCGTCTCTGACCTGTAATACTGTACACAACTTGCTCTAGCTTTGTAAAAGTCAAGTCTGTTCTTCAAATATAACGGAGATATCGGAGACATCGTATTCATTAAATAGATTTAAAAGAAATTAAGTCGTTGCCACAAACTCAAATATTCGAATCCTATTGGTGTAAACCTGTGATATTTCATATACGTAGATAAATTAATGTCACAGAGTTCAAAGTTTGAAATATCTACGATTTTCAACATTGGAGTTTAAAGATAAAGAGATTAGAAAATCAGAGTTTGTGTCAAAGAATGAATTCTTTTGTTTCAGATTTAAAAACAACCCACCAAAAAGTTGCAGCGTATAACTCGTGTACATTTATTTAGAAAATATATTTGGTCTGTTTTGACTCTTTTCAATTATTGAGATTTGTTTCTGTCATATTCAAGTTTGCCATAATTTTCCGGAAGATTATACAGGGTGTCCCAAAAAACATGGGAATTCAGTGACGAATTCGATATCGTCTTTGTTATGAATTAGCATTGTAATACCTAATTTCAAAAGCCATAATATTATTATGTCTGCTAGAGTTTATTTAATGAAAAGGGTAAAAGACTGCAAAGATGTGTCTATAATGTCTCCGCAAGATGAACAGTGAATACGGACAAGTTTACTCTGTTTGTATACTGTAATTTGCTGTCAAAACATAAACAAACAAAATGTAAACATAGCAGACGAAACTCTTACAGATTACAGCTTTCTCAGTAGGCATCACTATACTAAATCAAAGAATTATTTGAAAAGACGATATCGAATTCGTCACTGAATTCCCATGTTTTTTGGGACACCCTGTATCTATATTATAATAAAGAAAATTGTTTTATGAAATTAAAATGTTTGATCTTTGTTTTGAGAAATCTTTATTTCTAGAAATGAATTTTAAACCATTAAATAAAATAAAATTTAATGTTGTAAATACTAAAAGAAATTCTCTTTAAAGAATAAGAAACGCAGGAGAAAAAGAATGAACACTCAAATTTTTATTTTTTTATTCTGGGATTTGCTATCTGACACATTTACCGTAAATAATAAAACATTACTCCGATTTAGATTTCTTAATTGATTAAACTGATATTTCAGCCCGTAAAGAAGAACCCTCTTTTTCATCCTCTGAATCAGGACGGATACCTCCAGGTTCAAGGTCCGGAGCAGGACGAATACCTCCAGGTTCAAGGTTCGGAGCAGGAACTACGGAGAGATTACCCAACCTGGAACCAACTCAGGCTGCCACCTTTGTTGTGCCAACCACGCCCTTTACTCCGACCAGGTATTGCACATAGATCCAAATGAAAAGTTGCATCAATTTACGAGACCGGGTAGACTTTGAAGTATCGCAACGCCTTAGCCTTTAATCTTACCTCCCTAACTCACTTATACCTTTTTTGTAGGCCTAGACATGTACAATTGTTTTAGCTTTAGTTTTTAGTAGTAATTTGCAAAATTCTCATTTTTTCGTGTGAGCTTACAACCTTAATGCATCACTGTGATTAGTTTGTTTGTGTCTGATAGAGCCCAAAAATGAAAATAAAATTACGGAGAAAGAATGAGATCAATTCCTGTAATATATTTTAAGGTTCGTATTTTTGAAACAACCTAAAAACGAGGAAACAATTGTTAATTTAAGTAAAGAACTGCTGCACAGGTTCAGTACAGGGGCTTCAGATGAGGGGGGCGAAGCGAACACAATGAACTTTTTTACTGTTAATGTTAAAACCAATAACATTCAAGACTTAAGTTTTGAAAAACCATCCAGTTCCGATTTGGCATTATTGCGCGTAAAGAATATATCAGGACAATTAACGACTAGAAAATGCAACATTTTTTTTGCATTGGGGTTCATTGTTTTCCATGCCGAGACACATGATTTTGATCTAAAATCTATAGAATGAATTTAAGCACAGTCCCTTTTTCAGAGCTTATAATCAGAAACAAAGTCCTTCTGTGCAACAAAATAAGTTTTTTTTCTAAACAAATCATATGTGAAATAAAAATTAGAGTAGTTACAAGGTTGCAAAGTCGTATCAGTAATTCTGAATAAAATGAATTTCTTTCCTATGTAGAAACCAGAATATCTGTAGTAAATGCCCTACTCCATAAGGGTTTCTCAAACCTGGATCAATCCAGGTTCACCTCAATCTCACTTTACTATCAATGTCAAACCGGACACGATCTCTTGAGCCATCAATGTCAAACACGGACACAATCTCGTAAACTACTAAAATGCCACAGACCGGCACCAATGTCATACACGGACACGATCACGTAAACTATCAATGCAAAACACTGGACACGATCTTGAGCTATCAATGTCAAACAAAGACACAATGTCATAAACGATCAATGCTGAAAACTGGGCACGATCTTGAGCTTTCAATGTCAAACACGGACACGATCTCGTAAACTATCAATTATCAATGCCAAACAATGGGCATGATATTGAGCTATCAATGTCAAACACAGACATGATCTCGTAAACTATCAATGCCAAACACTGGGCAAAATCTTTAGCTATCAATGTAAACTATCAATGTCTCAACTCGGATACAATGACATTTACTTGCTTGCCAAACGAGGAACGATTACTTCTCTCAACGTAATCTAAGTCATGAGTATCTTCCAACTTACTTGTATTTAGATTTTCATGTTAATGGTTAAGTTAATATAGGTATTTACAAGATTGGGGTGGATATATATAAGCGTAGTTAAGCCAATCATTGACGTAGTTATAAGTTAATCACAATACAGGTTTTGACTTATTTACAGACGTAGCTAGGCTAGGTTAATCGCATTACAAGTTTTGCGTAGTTAATAAAAAGCGCATTTAAATTTACAGACAATGTACAACGTAATTTATCAAGGTATGTTCAGGTTAATAAATATGGGGATTGCTACGATATGGGCTTCATATCTAGGGAAAAAACATGTAAGGAAGGTTTTGCATTAAATCCAAAGAAAGAGAGAAACTTTGAAAATATCAATATTTAGACAAACTTGTCAAAATTGTTGATTTAAATTCAGATTTGAAATTAAAATAATCACAAACATTCTGTATATGTGTATGTTTTTCCATTCTCGGTTTTCAATATGGCGAGATAGTTAGTTTACTTTCAACGTTAAGACTGTCTCACAAAAATTCCCCCAAAGTGTTAAAACTATACTGAAATAAATTTGTTTCAGACGTGTGTCAAATTTTCAAGCTTCGGCGCCACGCCGTTCCCCACAATCCAGGTAGAGAGCTTAAAAAGATTGTCCCCGTAATTTTAGCTGTAAAAATTATTAAGAAATTCTTGTATTTTTACCAGAAAATTGATCATCTCCAACTGTGATTGTTTACTTCATTGTTTACTTTAAAAGAAACCGCTTTTTGACTTACTAAAAATCAAAGCTCGGGGTTAAGATGAAGGAATTGAGTCTTTGCCACAAACTCTGATTTTCAATCCCTTCATCTTTGCAACCCACTTCAGTAGACTTTAGATAGTTCAGCGATTTAGGGATTAGAAAATCAGAGTTTGTGGCAAATACTCAATTCCTTTGTTTAAGGCTTAGGTTCTTAGTTTTTTTTTATTAACTGGTATATTTTGTGTTAAAAACCGTGAAGCTAACAACGCAATTTTGAAGATTAAGAATTTATTTAAATGTTTAACAAGTTTTATCCGGATTAGATTTTCTTATTTATTCATAATGGAATTGTTGAAGAAATTCCAAATGTTCAGAGGACAAGTTTTAGAAGGCTTACTGAGAATCGCGGGAGAACCTAAAGAAAACCCTGTCGGACCCCCACCAATACAAGCAAATCAACAAAATTCGGTAAATTTTGGACAAACTGGCGGCTTAAGGGGAAACCCTGCACCCTTCACAGGCACAGAACAAGAAGGAAACCCTGGTTTGAATAACTCTGACAATGTTGATTATGAGTAAGTATTTAAGACGGATTTAAAATTTAGTTTTAACGACTTTAATACTCTTTATATTTCTTACTTTTATATATTTTAATTACGCGATTATCCGTCTTTATTTGTGTTTTTTTTAATTTCATTTTGATTTAGATTTTAATTCCTGAAGAATGACATGATTAAACAGCACTAACGTGGCTCCAATTCTATCGATTCTATCAAAAGTAATTAAATCCTGAAAATGCATGGCGTACTTTTTTCTGTTTTTAAATTAACTGTCAACAAAACTTGAAGTTATCTTCTATTTAAAGTGTGGTATCCTTTGCATAAGTCAAGGAAGATTTAGATATTCTCTTTTTAACCTGAGCTGAAAACTTTAGAATGAAATATCCAATTGGAAGATAATTTTGCTTCTCTGGAGTTTAAATTCATGTGGAGAACAAGCAATATTTAAACTGGATATTAAGAAAAAGAGTGGTTTAAGCCTTAATCCTGATATCCACCATTCTAAAGTTTTCAGCTCTGAAAATTGATGATAATAAATATAACATAATTTGACATTTTTAGATAAAAAAACCAACCACACATTTACAGTTGTGAAAATAAAATGAACATTCCACTCTTTAAGCGAATTTGCTCTCTTTACGTCTACAATCCCTTTAATTTATAAATTCGTCCAACCTTTTCCTTTAATTCCCTTCTTCAAATTTTTCTTTGTCATTCTAATTCCATCCCTTTCCTTTCTACTCTAGGTTTGAAGAGGAGAATAGTAGGTTTGTTGTAAAATCAAGAGCTAGACAGTTTTCCTCTCTCAAACCTTCTTCTTCTAGATCTAATCCTTCTCCTTCTAAACCTAGTCCTTCTCCGTCACAACCTAGTCCTTCTCCGTCACAACCTAGTCCTTCTCCGTCACAACCTAGTCCTTCTCCTTCTTCTTCTTTATCTAATCCTTCTCCTTCAAGATCCAAACTTTTATCCCCTCGATCCAATTCACAACGAACCCAATTCAATGTTCCACCAACCCAATCCCAACCAATCCAATCCCGACCCCAACCAACCCAATTTCAATCCCAACCAACCCAATCCAATTCTTTCTCCGTGTTCCCAACTCAACAAAATATAAATTCCGGTAAAAAAAGAATCTTTCAACATTTAAATTGCAGTATCATGCTTGACTTTATTATACGATATAATAAAAAAGTATAGTCAAAAAGTTTCTAAAATATTATTGTAACAGGTTTTACGTGGCTTAAACAAACGTTATGCGTCATGACTGTTTGTCGTCGTTCTCTCTTCTCTTCATAGTCATTTTGTTCTATATCTGTAATAACTTTGCCTAAGCCATGATATAAAAATCTATTTCATTCTTTAAACAAATCTTTAAAAGAATCGTTCTTGCTAATTTAGCTATCCATTAATTTTGTTTATTAAAAGAAATCAGATTTGTAAGGATTAATCTTAAACGTTTATCAGGTTCTTTGGGTGATCTAGGAGAAGAATCAATTAGGTAAAATTGTTTTTAAATGTTTTAGAAATAATTTAAAGTTATTATATATATGTACTTTGTTTGTCTGTTTGTCTATTTGTTTGTTTGCATCCAATAAACGTCAAAACGGCTGAACCGATCGTGCTCAAATTATGTGAGACCTCACATGACCGCAGGGAAGGTTTATCAAAATCTCAAACATTAGCCTCCAACAAAATCCACGAAATTTTTTTTTTATAAAATTCGCGAACTTTTTGTTTTCGTTTAATATTTAATACAAAGAGAAAATGTTCACAGCTGAAATAGAAGATGGGCGCTAAGCGCCCTGAAAGTCTGGTTTCATAAACTTTTCTACCAAGTTAAAAATAATATAAACATTGTAAAAAAGTGTTTAACAACAAAATAGGTTGAAAATAGATTTTTGTTTCATTAAAAAAAGAGATGAGCAGTTTATCCTTTTCTAGAAATCCTGAATTGAAAAACTCGCGATTGGATCCTGCTGTGCGGAGAATCAGTGCAGCTTCATCCGTCCTACTCAATCCAACCCTACAATCTGCAATCAATGAACCTACTGATTCTAATGAAAACAAAGTTATCTCCTCGTCCTCGCAAACCAGCTCAAGTAGGTTACTGGAGCAGGGCAGAGAGGTAGAGATTAGGACGGAGTCTGCCATTGATCAGTTGAACAGGATCCAGGATGAGTTTGCTCCGGGTACCCGTCTAGTAGGGGAGGAGAGAAGAGGGTTCAACTTTAAGAAGGGAAATAAAAAAGAGCAGGTAAACTGAAGAACTAGACGTAGCTTATAGGAATTGCAACGAATTACGTAACCTTTTTTTTACAGCTCGTGATTCAAATACGTCGCCTAAATTTCACTAGATTAGGAAATTCATTTCGCGGACCGTACCGTTTGAACTTATATAGTCCATATTTGTACTGTACAGCTTGCACTAGCTGATTAAAAGTCGGCCCGATATTTGAAAGTTAAAATAAACAAGAGTTTACAGTGACTCGTAATTTTTGAATATTTTCTAGGAGAATGGATTGAAAGAAAAAGAAGCAAAAGAGGTGAGAAGTAATTCAGTTTCTCAATCCAGAGATTCGGATAAAGATGAGAATGAAGAGAATAAGAATGAAGGAAGGAAGGAGAATGAGAAAGAATACAGCTGTAGGAAGATATGTGATCTCTTGATATTTGAAATATATCAGGTTTTGGGGGGAAATGTTTGCGGGTGCCACGGTCTACAAGGGCAAAAGTGATTGTGATATTTAAGGCATGATCAAACTTGTAAACATAAAAATAAATAAATGAATTTCTCTCCGACATCCTGTGATCGGAACCCATCTAAAATATTTTTCTAAAATTTAAAAGTTGTCAGAGTGGATTTTGCGATTAAGCGTTGGTAGATTTGTTTTAACTCAGAATACATGTCAACTAATTTGAGAAAAATTTCGTTTTCGTTTTTATATTTCACACTTTTGACGTCGTTTATAACTTCTCTGTTGCAACATATTGTACTTAATAATCTATTTGAGTTTCCCTTTCTATTTCGCAGATTTTCATAAAAATAAATTGGACAATTGTCGCTCAACACAAGTTTTTAAACTTACAAAGCTGAAAGAATTTTCTTGGAGACCTGATGCTTTTTTGCAATGTTCACAATTCTCAAGATCATTTTATATCCTTCTGTCACTAACAATCTTAATTTCTTCTTCAAACCTAATCTGTTTATGCAACTGTCTTGTCTTATTATTATTTTTTCGCGGATTTTCAAAATTTTACGAAAATCAAATTTTTATAATTCTAATGGTTGATCCTTTAATGCTCCCTCCCCTAGTTTAGATCCTACTGGCTGATCCTTCAATGCTCATTCACCTAGTTTAGATCATTTTGTTTAATCCTTCTCCTAATATAGATCCTACTGGTTGATCCTTCAGTGCTTCTCTCCTAGCATATGATCCTACTGTTTAATCCTTCATGGTTTAAATAATACCTTGATCCTTCAATACTTCCTCCCTAGTAGAGATCCTACTGATTGATCCTTATTCTCCTTTTCCTTGTATAAATCCTACTTGCTGGTCCTTCAATGGTTTCTCTCCTGTGAAGAGATAAAAGGATATATATTTTCTAATTATCTTAAAATAAACAATATTTAACGGGTTACAGGACTTTTAAATGAATTGCTCTAAATTATAAAGAGGACTAATCTAAACAGGAGGGGAAGGGGGCGGGACTAGACCGACAATCTGAGTATAATCCGTCCCAACCAACCCCTGCTGGGTCGGAGAATATACTCCTGGTGTGCAGGGGACCCGGAGAGAAGGAAATCTTAATCCTGAACCTTCAACCAATCTTATTCCCACGAGTTATCCATAATTATAATCTAAATAACATAATATAGACATAGCTAGTGATTATTCCTTCACCAACTTTGTGGCCTGTACAGTGTACACTATATTAGGTTTATGCATGACTAGAACTTTATCCAAGGGGTTCATTCACGGTGCAAACAGCACAATCACAGCATTTGTTAAGATCGTAACTCAGCCAATAAATCTTTTTGAATTTAAATTTGATTATCATGGCAAGCTGTGACGAAAATATAAGCTGCGTTCGGTTTTTCCCTAGTGGTATGCATTTTCTGAAAAATTATCTCTAAAAATTTTTTCGATGCGTGATGAAGTTGTGAGTGGAGCGCGAAAAAGATTTAAATGTTGCTGTATCCTATTTTTAACTATTGAAAGATAAAAAAGTTGATGAAAATATATAAATATTACGAGGAAGATGGGCATAAAAGTTATGCTGTTTCAGTCTGAAAGTGGTCTTTTAAAACTTTAAAGTTAGGAGAAGTATTAACGAAGAAAATGTCAACTTAATCAAAAATAGGAAAGAGTATTATTACACAGTTAATAAATCAGTGTTTTCATTTAAATTTGATGAATGAACATCTGCCATGACCACAGAAGCAATTGTCAAAAGGAAAAAGCGGGATGCAAGATGAAATTCTCAAAACATAGAAATTGGAATTTTAAAAAATGTTTAACATTTTCTCCTCCGGTCTCAGCTATAACACCAGTCCAATCTTTAATAATTTTTAAACAACTTTATCTATCTATCTATTTATCTATCTATTTATCTATCTATCTATCTATCTATCTACCTATCTATCTATCTTTCTATCTATCTATCTATCTATCTATCTATTTATCTATCTATTTATCTATCTATCTATCTATCTATATTCTTTATATTATTTTATTTTTACATATTTATCTATCAATTTTTATATATCTTGATCATTTACGTATAATCTGTCTATCTAATTATCTATCTATCTATCTATCTATCTATCTATCTATCTATCTATCTATCTATCTATCTATCTATCTATGACTGTAATAACAAATAATTCCTTGTGACAACATTATAAGTATTCTTTCAATAGAATACTTAGAGTTGAATACAGAATAGTCAGTAATCAGTCTCTAATCCTCTCAATTCATTTGTTCACGACCAAACCAAACCTTTAATCAGATATTAATCATTAAATATATATAATATAAATATATTTAAACAAGTATGCAGGATGTCTCAAAATATTTAAACATTCCAAAGGCCGAATTTAAAGAATTTGAGACGCGGCTCAACTCATGGTTGGTTCCACTTAAAATTGTATTCAATGTTTCAAGATTTAAGTCGGCGCTCAATTAAACCCGGTTTTGGCGAATTTGAGACGCGGCTTGAATTCATTAAATTCGCACTCAATCTGTGTAAACGTATAGATAAGAATGTTAAGGAAAAAGAAAACTCGATGTGTTTAAGGAACCATCATTGTAATGTCAAAATATCTTCCGTTTAAATTGGGGAATGCCTCTAGCTGATTATCAATGTCTCCCTTTAAACCTTTATCTGATCAATAATGTGGAAGATATCGTCGTTTTCATTTGAGCTTTTTTTAATAATTTCAAACATACTGTTTGTCAAGCAGAAATGTGTGCAAGTCACATTATATAGAAAAAATGAAAATAGTAAACTTTCAAAAAAAAATGATTGAAATCTCATGCAACCTTGATCCGACAATGCTGTCAAGGGTACCTTTGTGAGTCGGACATGTCGCTCTATGAATTTAAAATTATGTCAACAATACTCTTGTGAATTAATTTTTTCGATTATAAAGTTGAAATCTTGATGACATAGACGAATGATGGTTGTTAATTCAAACAGACTGACTTATCAAAATGAGTTGAGAAGATCTAGTGCTACTTTGCATACAATTTCGTTTGTTTGGTGCTATACGATGAGTAAGTTTATTTAAAACAGTTCGTCTACAGACGCTTAATTCTCAAACATAATTTTTACATTTTACTTCAGTATATGCCATGAAATTTTAATTATTTTTTTTTGTACACCTCTCAGCTAAATAGACATATAAATATGATATATACAGTTATAGTTAATCTTTAATTCCTGTATTAGTTTTATAGATAAATCTCGTTATTATATAAATATAATTCAGACGACAATCGGGCATAAAGACACATCTGTTGGTGGCCAGGGGGCCAGGGGGGGGGGGAGTAGTTTTAATTATTGAATGAAACTATTTTCCGCTCATGTAAACAAAACCATCAATATTTAGAAAAAACAGTAAATTTTAGAATTTACGTTAAATTCGTTTAGTCGCGTATAATTGAACAGTTTTGTGTGAGAATTGATGTAATTAAAGCTAAGCCACTGTACGCCCTATGTTGGGAAGGATTAGAGCTGATGAATCTCTGGTAATCCGTCCCGTCCCCCCCTCAGCACTAACCTATACCCAGATATTTAAGTATTTACTCAATTTTGTTCCAAGCCCACCCACCCAACTATATCACGGCTCCTTGAACAGTTTATTTTCGGAGAAAAGAAAGTAGGTAGTATTTAACTCCATAGAACACTGTAAACCTTAAAATATGCAAGTTTTCACGCAATAATAGAAGTATACTCCTTTTAAACTAAAGCTAAAACCAAGCACGTTACAGTTCTAAAATGTATATGTCCGAGCACGTTACAGTTCTAAAATGTATATGTCCGAGCACGTTACAGTTCTAAAATGCATATGCCCGAGCACGTTACAGTTCTAAAATGTATATGTCTGAGGCCCAAGGCGTTGCGACACTTTAAGTCGACGAGATCTTATGATCTGCTAACTAGCTTTGACGGTTGTCCAAAGACCGAATTTAAAAAATTTAAACCGCGTCGCTGATCCGTCAAAAAACGGTTCCAATTGAGCGGCGGCTCAAATCTCGAAACACTGATTACAATTTCAAGTGGAACCAACCATGTTTGAACCGCGTTTCATATTTGAGCCACGGCTAAAATTCTTTAAATTCGGCCTCAGACCTCTATGAGAAATGTCTAATTTGAATTAGGAAAAAAATATTTAAAGCAAAAAACATACAAATTTTTAAAGTCAGGCAAATGTAAGATCTTCCGGCGTGTCTTAATAAATATCTGAAAAATCCAAAAATAACTGTACATTATCTTTTTCAGCTATTGAAAAGTGTATTAAAATTATAGTATATTTTTCTTGACTAAAAACTTTTAAAGCAGCAAGTTTAAATGAGGGAAAAATCTTGGCATTTTGTAGTTTTCTAAAATTTCATCTAATTTTCAATAGTTTTAAAAATTAAGATAAGTGTAGGTTAATACTAAGCTTCATAAAAGGTTTTGTTTAAAATTAGAATAAAATCTTAATATTAGAATCTATCTAATCTAAGTAATAAAAATGATGTTTAAATTAGTATAAAAACAGAGTTTTATGGGTAATATTTTTCAATAACGTAGAAGATAAGAGGGACAGAGACTTGGCCACAAAATAAAATTTGTATCTCTATATATTTGCAACCTGATTCTGTAACCTTTTGATATTCCAAACTTAGACTATTTGATCTAACAAATTTTAAAGTTTGAAAGGTTTATGACATCGGTTTTTTAAGATAAAGGTATGAAACAATAGAGTTTGTTGCAAAAACTCAGTTCCTTTTGGACACTGATCCTAAAAATCGGTTTCTTGATTTTCTTAGTTTATTTTCTAAAGAAAAGATGTATTTAATGAGCCTTTAATCTTTGCTAATGAGTCAAAAACTAATTTAAGTGTTTGATTAAGTTAAAGAAAGTTAGTTCTATTTTACCGAACTCTAATAGATAATTTAAAGTTTTTTCAATTGAACTAATCAAGTTAAACTAAGGGATTTAATAGAGATGGGAATACAAATGGTTT